TGCCACCAAATGTTATTACTATGCATTATTTTTACAGAAACAATTGGGGTTATAAAAAAAGCATCAGAACACAAATAAAAGGATACTGTCACCGAATGATATTGTCCTGCATTATTTATAATGAAATAGAGCAAATATTAAACAAAATGGTGTGGCAACACTCAATTCAGAACTTCTTAAGTTCAACACTTTTTAGTTCTAAAGATATGTAGTTTTTAAATACTTTGTGATTTTGCTGTTCAAATTTATGTGGTGTATGAGTAAAGAATAATAAATAAAGTTAAAAGGATGGAAAAAGTTTTGTAAGTTTATCATATTATGAAAACTGGTCACTAATATGATAAACTGAGAAAAAACTGAAAAAATATATGGCAACACTTAACATTCTATTCTGAATTAAAAAAATTCTGTGAATGTACGGTTGAATTTTATGTGGCATAAGTGTGAAGAAAGCAATGTTTAACCTCTTCGCTCCATATCACACATGAAACGGCTCAGTCTCCCTCTGTGCATCCCGACTTCGAATGTAACACGGGAGCAAAGTGTCACTGATGGCCCACCATACCATATTTCATAAGCTGAAACTGAATGCTTTATTTCAAATGCACATAGTTATCAAAAATGATGCAAAAAATTAATAGAATTTCTAGAGTGTTAACATTGTTGTGATGAATATTATTCATTATTTTATTCTACAAAAGTAAAATGCAGGATGCTAACAACATGCAGTTATGATTTAGATATGTTTCACACAGTGCAAGCATTTTACAAAAATTACAATACGTAAAATTTTTGTTGGTAAATCTGGCAATAAGACATAACAAGCAATGATATTTAAATTCTTAAATTTTCAGTTCACTATTGTAGGGAAGTAATTTAAATATGGGAATATAATCATTATTACAAATACCGCACTAACTCTAAATTTTTATTTTAAGTATTAGGATTTTCTGTTTATGTCATAAGAATTATTATTTAAGCATTGCAAGAATCAAATTTTTAGATAAAAAGCAGATTTATAAGAATTATTTTTTCATGTTAGGCTTAGCGGTAAAAATTCGCTTGGGTATACAGTGATGTTCAGTGCCCTGAGGTAACGGGCACATTCCTTCAGTCAATGTCCAAGTGAGGAAGTTAATAATAAAATCAAAAAGTCGTGTTAGCAAGAGTATATCCTAGAGTAGACTGATAAATGTGAGCTCAATGAGAGCATAATAACCATTAAAAACATCCTCTGGTGCAATGTTAAAATCTGAATCCTTTCAGACTTTGTTCTGCTCTTAATTTGCTACTTATTTCATAAATTTTTAATAAAATTTTTAAAAAACATTTTCGTTTTTTTTTTTTTTTTGGTTTCAGCAATATTACTTAATACAAATATAAATATTACCTATTGAAAAAAATATTTAAGGGAAGTTTTTAAGAAGATTAACCTCTGTTTTAAAAAGTAAGCTGTTAGTTTGAAGAATTGCTTGTTTTTAAATATTTAGCTAAACAATGAGTGGCAAAAGTAAGGTAATTCTTTTCAATGCAAAATGTTGATGTAACAGTGATTATTGGTAGTGAAAGTAGTAAGTTGATATTTCATAAATATTTTTGTTCTCTAAAGTTAAAAAAAAAAAAAAAAAAAAAAAAAAAAAAAAAAAAGATTCTATTCTTGTATCACAAATATCATCTAATTGTTTATTAAGGATTATTTTAAATTTTAAATGAAATTGGTTGGATTTATTTCTTTATGTTTCTGGTTGCCAGGGCAACCAGAAACATAAAGAAATAAGCTACAAATTTTCTGTGCATGCGTCGTTTTGACATTTGCGCAGACCTTTCGTCAACCTTACTTAAGACCTTACCCACTGGGGTGCAACTGGCTGGATCCTATATCCTGACAGAGTACTCTGGGGGAAAAGCATTTTGAGCTTGGCGGTTCCAGAACCTGAGGGAAGGTCGTTTATACGGCCGGACCAAGGGGGATTGCAGAAGTCCCAGAACCGGAGGATCTGGTAGCGTAGTCAGTCTGTGTATTCCGGGTAATGACCTTCGGTGACGGGCAGCCGTGTAGTACTGGCAGGTGCGCATCAACGGCCGGTCAGATCGCCAAACTGACAAAGGTCTGTAGAGGTCCTCCCTCCGGGGTGGTCTCCGAGACCCGTGGTGTGTAAGCATCCGGTGGCCCGGTTCAGCCCCGGAGGATTTGAGAGAGTTTTCTAAAAAGTCTGCACAGGGATTTGAGGCACCCTGGCGTAGCAAGAGTACTAGTTTTAATCTCTAAGCGGACATGTCCGGCCCTCCCACCTGATAGAGGTTGACTGCGGGTGTCACCCTAGTTGCATTAAGTTTGCAGGAGGGGTTAGCATATATTGATTGATTACTTAAGACCTTTACGGCTGCGAATATGCTTGTGCGCGTGCGCAAAATACGTTTACAAGTGCGCGTTTAATGTATAACGGACTGTATAAGGTAAACTAAAATTATCTAATTATCTATTTCAGTTAATGTTTCAGATTGCGTTGTTCCTTAATCTTCGAATTGGATCTGGCTTATTATTTTTTGCAAACTGTTAGAGCAATTTTATAAAAGTAAGCTTGAACTTTCGATTATGTCAAACAGAATTTCTGATATACATTTACTAATATGTAAATGATTTACAAAGCGAAAGTATATTTCGAAGTTCATTAAACAAAAAGTGGAATTGCTACAAAAAATGGATAAAGGCATATCCTTTGTTTATCTAAACTTTAACGTTTGTTTATCTAAACTTTGTTTATCTTTAATGCTGCGGGGGGGGGGGCACGCAATGAATTGGAAGTTGATGCGTCAGCACTATCCTTATCTTCAGGGCAGATGTTTTTATTTTATTTGGCTTATAATTCCTTACTGTATTTCATCTCGATGTAATCCGTCTTTGATATGATTTAAATCAAATTCCTCGTCATTATAATTTGCTTCCGATAGCGAAGAAAGTGACAGAGGTTGACAGTTGTTGAAAACGAAAAAAATTTGATTGACAAATTAGTCGGTAGACACAGCAATTATAGGACTTGAACAGCGGTACTTTGTAACTGTACAAGAAATTATGTCTGTTTATAGAATTAAAGGGAATGTATTATCACGTAAAAAACGAAGCAACTTAAACAACTTACATTGAAAGAAATGTTTAATAAAGTAAACAAATAAATATTAAGCTTTTTTTTTGTAAATTTTGATACCCTTTAGATCATAATTGTTCTTTATTTCATAAATTACGGTTTCATATTTTTAATTTTAGAATTTCTGCATGCCATCTTACCAGATTTAAACTGATAATCTATAATCCTGAAAAATCGATAATCCGGAATCGCCGAAGTCCCAACGAGTCCGGATTAACGATTTTTGACTGTAATTGGATTCATTGAATTTTTTTGAACTAGATAGATCAGTTTTACAGGATGTCTAGTAAAGCAGTTCCTGATTCAATATTAAAAATCTCAAAAACACAGATTGTTAGAGTAACCCAAGAGGTATATTTATTGTGAAAATTGTAAGTTTGTTATACAGAAGTTTTTAAATAACAGTTACAGAAGCTGCCAACAGATGGCACAATGCATATAAACAAACAGTGCTCCAAAAGACGTTAGAGCCAGTTCATTCTTGAAATGCGAAAGGAGGTTAGCATGTGGAAGGAAGAGGTTGAAATCACGTATTCCATTGAACAATGTGTGTTTCTGGTACTGGAATACCACAGGTTAGATCAAAGTCCTATGGCGACAAGGCATAATTTTCAAATATGATTGAATGCTCTCAAATGATCTGAGGTGAAAACCATTCACAGGCTCTTCATTAAGTGTCCAACAGACAGGAAGTGTGGCCAATGATCTGGTAAGGAATTTTGGTCACAGACAAACTGTAGCTATTCCTGAAAATGTTGCAAATGTTTCTGGAATTATTCAGGAAAATTCGAGGAAATCCATCTGAAGAACTGCAGCGGAGATTGGTTCGAGTTATTCCAGCATTCAGAAAATACTCAAAAACAGCCTAGATATGTTTCCATTCAAAATCCAAGAGCCAGCATACAGAGCAGGAAGATCTTGCAACTATTCGAAACTTTCATATAATAATCTTACAGCTTTCAGAATAAATATACAGCTTATTGTGTTCCTCTATTAATCTTTGTTTTCAAGATTTTTAATTTTAAACTCAGAGACTCCTTTGCTGGACACCCTGTAAGGAAGGATATTTCTTCTCTAGTGTTTTGTGAGGTTGTGCATTAATACAGTGAATTTGCAGCTATCTCTAGAAAGTTATGAATATCTTGTGTATTTTGTTTTGGTTATAACTTTTGCAATTTCAGGAATGTTAACTTAGGGTCTTATTATATTTATGGGAGATTTTTATAGAAATTAGGTAATGAAATGCAATTTAATTTTTATTGGACTACATGTTTTAAGTTTTATATCAAGGCATTCACAGAAGATTTACTTCTTTTGGTGTTTCAAGATACTGATTAAACAAATTTGAATTTAAATGGAATAACTTAAAAATTACGTGTTTATATAACTAATATAGAACTTAGATTCATCACTCAGTTCAGCACAATGTTTAAGTTCAGTTTTATTCTTGTCTGGCACAAGTGTTAGGGAGAAATTTTAGCTAGCTTGGACAGAAAATAAGGGGACAGGGATTACGAAGGTCTGTAAATAGGAATCACAGTGAAAGAAGCAGTTTTCTCTGTCTCAACAAAAGCCAAGTCAGTTTAAAGTTTGGCAACAGAAAGATAATTTTTTGAAATGCAACATGTTCTGATGATGTAGCAGCAGATGTTAGAAGCAAAAATAGATGATACTTTGCATGTATTTTTGTTCCCTAAATGTAAAAATAAAGCCAATTCTATGTTTAATTATGTATTAATTGATTTCTACCCTGCAGCTGAGGAAACATTTACACCAGTTAGAAAACAACTTAAAAGCTTAACGTGAAATAAATGTAAAACTTTGCAATGCAAGAGATACATTATCGAGTCTTACCTGCTATAAATGAATTTATGTTTTTTCTTTAACAGCTTTCCAGAGATTCTTAATGGTGAAGAATGCCACTTGAGGAAAAGGGGATTAGTCTCAATGACTCAAACTGTAACAGAAGGCTCATGTTTAATTGAAATCATGTCAACAAAAAAGGCTGAAAAAGATTAAATTCACAGCATTATATAAGTGGAATAAAATGAACAAAGACATTTTTTTATTTATTACATATAATAATAATTTATATATTAATAAACATACAAATAATAAATATTTTCCAAATTTAAATTTATAAATACATACATATATATACAGCATAAATTATTTCTAGCAAAACAGAAAATAATTTGCTAGGCATAAGAGACTTTAGTTAAATAGTTAAATTCATGCATAATTGAATATATTCTCTAAAAAAAAAAAAAAAAAAAAAAAAAAAAAAGTTCATGAAGACAGCTGTTTGCTCTTACCCCTTAATGGACCCATAAAATTAAAAAAAAAAAAAAAAAAAAAAAAAAAAAAAAAAGTCTTTTTTCAACCAATTTTTTTATTCTTTAACTCAATCTCTTTTAACCTCTTTCTTTATTTTCACTTAAAACTGTAGTGGATATATCCTACTGTATTCATATCTGGGGGGAGGGGAAAAAAATCTTGAATTTATTTTCCCAGATGCTTGGAAATAATTTAATTCAGTGTAACTTAGTTAACTGCATTAAAAGCTAACAACTTATAAAATTCTAGTTATTATGAAGTATTAACATTATCCACTTATGAAGAAGCAAATGATACTTGTTAAGTAATCAGACAAGGTATTTGGCTTAAAAGAAAATGAAAATGCTGTGAAGCCTCAAATACCCTAAAATACTAAGTAGTGACAGATTGCTAGGAATCATTCATAAGGAACTGACCACATACATCACTTATAGATACTTGAAAATTATAAAAACGATGTTGATGATAAAGTAGTTGAAATGATAAATGACACAATTATTTATCATTTCAGCTAGATTCATCACTCAGTTCAGCACAATGTTTAAGTTCTAGCAGCTATTAAATATTGATACCCTTGATATGATAAGAAAACTAATAGAACTAAAAGAATGTTCTATTATGTTAGTGAAATTCGGCTATTACAAATAGCTCTTATGGAACTTTGAGTTTGCTGCTATTCCTCTCCAAAGAAATATGCCTTGGGTTTTATTTCCTGTTTAGGACAGGTAGAAAAATACTAAAACTTTACAACCATGCAAGGATAGAAAGTATAGTTGTGGCCAATGTCTATAGTTGGTCACAATATGATTCATTAAGCAACAGTGTTTGAAAGTGACACACTAAAATCTGAGTAAATCCAGAGAAAAATCACTTTTATGGGACATGTGCTTTTCTTGAGTATTATAGTCACCATTCCTAAACTCTGAAAGAAAAGAAAAAAAAAAAAAAAAAAAAAAAAAAAAAAAAAAAAAAAAAAAAAAATTGCTGGTGGTTCAGATACTGGGCATCTGGGTTTTGGGCTTCATACTGTATCATGCAACAATACAATTTTGATTATACAAGATGAATGGAAGCAGGATTAGGTAACAGAATAATCAGTTTTTACATTAAGAAACTAAACAAATGATTACACATTGAAGTCATTTAACATTCAAAAATTAGATTTGACATGTACTGCTTTTATTCTCAATTAATAACTTCATGTGAAATAAAATTTTATTAAAGAAAAGATTATATTGTTTAAAATGACCCATTATTGAATTGAAACAACATGAAAACCACAAATATGGATCTGAAATTACAAAGTATTGAAAAATTGATTACGCATAAAGTTACACAATTCTAAAATTTCATTGCTATGTTATTGGCAAAGTATGAAACACCGGCATTGTATAGAATGCCAGATGTTTTTAGGCAAAGTATGAAATATGAGAATTATTACATACTTTCCCTAGGCACTGTATAGAATGACAAATGTTATTTAGGCAAATATGAAAAAATGTCCTGCTAATGCTATTATATATATAACGTGCATTTCTGAAAAATACAAATCTTATTTTTGAAAACAATGAGAGTGCCATTAAGAAAAATTTATTCAAAATACATAAAGAAAAACGAAAGTTGTACAAAACAAAATTTATGCCTTTCTTACTAAGGGGAAAAAACCATATAAAAATAAGAAATTAAAATTAACCTACTTAACCTATCATGTTGCAACATGATAGGCTTGAATGACATTTCATCCAATTTTTCACACAAAGACATTTCATATTTTGTCACTTTGTTTTACGCATATATTTGACAAATCTTTGGCCGCTTCTACTGAACTGAGCAGTTGCAACTGACTTGAGAGGAATTTCGTGATCAGGGATGTCTTCAATTTTAAGCAAGTTCTTAGGGCATAAAGTGAATTGTGATCTTGCATATACTTGTTTTAAAATTCCTTCAGAAGTTCTAAGTTAGTAGAAACCATCCTCTGTCGCACTTATTACAACAGCCAATATATTGTGCAAATAACATCACCCCTTGTTGACATCAGGAATAAGAACTCACACAGTAGTTCCCAAAGAAGCAGCGGGAAATTTATTTTTCCGATTTCATTAAATTTTTTTGGCTTGTTTATCCAGACTGATTTTAGAATTTATTTTACCTTCAATAGCATTTTCGGTTTTAAAAACAAAGGGTGCACAAAATACCCATTTCTTCATCTTTACTAGTATGGCCACAGAAGGTATGAATTTTTGGACTTTTCTGTTTCGCCGGTGCAAATCTCGCCAAGCAGACTTTATTGGCGACAACATACAGTATACACATAAAAAATATTTAAAAAATTTTAGTTCTAAGAATTTTTTATTTTGAAGGCATAAACATTTTAATATCGCTTAAAATTTTATAAAAAGCCAATAAATAAAGACAATACATTTATAAAAAGACACTAATTTAAGAATTTACTATGCTTTCATGGTTCAACATCATGATTCGCCGGTTCATATCACGTGACCCCAAGCGAGCTCATCTCACGCAAACTATTCTACAAAAATCTAATGCTCTCAGTAATTATCTACATTAATTTCAAGTTAAATCTTAATTTGGAACACAAGTTTAAATGCAAGAAATATTTTAATTCGTACGAATAGCTTACTCAGAAAATTTGGAAAACTGCAGTGCTTTACTTCGCTAATGCATTCTCATTAGAATTGATGAATTTAACCCTTGACTTTACCTTTTCTATATTTTCGGCTTCGGGTAAGCGCTGTGATTGCATCCTAATTGACTTAATTACCGAAAATGGCCTTAGACATAAAACTGAACTATCTGATAAAAATTCTATGTAATTATATGTCAGTATTGAAAGAAACAATCAATCTGATAAGAAAAAGCTGCGACTTGTTTTGAAAATGAGGCGTAAAAGGTTACCAGAGAGAATATTCCTTTTGGCATCGGTTGTACCATTATTGGCGACTTTATCGCTTGCGCCGGCAAAACAGAAAAGTACCGAATTTTTTTATGACACTTTTTGCATGTAAATGAATCATCGGTTTCCTTTAAACACACAACAGGTATCAAAAACGATAATCTCTTTGATAAACATGTCTTCATCATGTTGGTTCAATCCACTATCGACTACAATCTCATCCATGTTTTTTTAAACAGGATCTTTTTCTTGTATAATCTGATTAGTTTCACCTTTTCCCCATTGCTTGGATGCTTTCTATTATGTATTTCATACTTTGAGAGAGAAATACTTATTCATTTATACTTTGCTGGTTTCTCATTTGGCATTCTATAGAACGCCTAGGAAATGTGTAAAATATGAATCGTTTCATACATTACTGGCTAGTTTTAGGCATTATATACAATGCTATTCTATAGAATGCCGGATTTCAAACTATGCTGGTAACAGCTTTATTAAAATTCATGATGAAAAGTAGATTAAAAAACTGCTATAAGTACGCTATATTATCATAAATTTCAAATTAATGGGAAATAAAACCTTATAGTAAAAAACATTCTCAACAGTGGCATTGGAATCAAATTCTGTGATAAGCCTTAAGAGTAGTTTATCATAATACTTGCAGTAAGTAGTAATGGTTATTTATCTTTCTAATCATATTCTTTAATTAGTATGATTACTTATAGATGTGCAGAGAAAAAACAGTAGGCAAACTTATGGATTCAGGATGATGCATTTTCTCATCCTGAATCCATAAGTTATTAAGCATGTACTTTTGGTATGCCAATTTTGTAAACAATTAATTATCTTTTTTCCTGCTTATTGCAATAAAATTTTTATATTATGTAGGAGCAGATTTTACTTTTTAAGGATAGCCACGCCATGAGTTCTAAAGAAAATGGACTGGATACCTAAATTTTCACCACTTATCAAAATTCATTACATCCAAGGATTTCAAAGCAGACACATAAAACTTGTTCACCTAGAATTTTGAGCCCTCGTGACATTAACTGTATTTTATTTTCTGAGTGTACCTTTTTTTTAAATTACTTTTTTTTTATTACCTGTACATCTCTGTCACGAGGAAAAAAGTTTTGCCTCCGATTAGAATATAAAGTCAAGTATCCAGACTTCAGAAAACTGGCATTTTTTTTTTTTTTTAACAAAGCCTTGGTAAAGGTAATACAATAGTAAAAAAATGCAGCTGTGCAGTAAAGAAGTAAAGATTATATTACTCTCAACTAGCTGAATTTCCTGCATGTCACTTTAAGGACGATATATCGACTGATGGATACTTGGACACTTGCATGATGCACATGATCTCAAAAGAAGCAACCAGGAGGCTTGGATTGCAGAACACAAAACGGAGAGAAATATATGTGAGGCATTAAGGTGGTGAGTTCCAACTTTGTAAAAGGAAGTCCAGTATTAAAATAATAACCCATTTGAAAGTCATAAGATGGTGCCACTTTTGCATTTCACTTTTGTTTCCTAAGGAATTACAATATGACTGCCATTAGACCCAACCATGCTTCTAGCCCTTGGGTGGTTATGGAGAGGGCAAAGAACACTTTTTTACCTGACCAGTACAATATGTGAACGGCACTTGTTTGAAATGGTGTAACAGCTTTAAATATTATTAAAATCTTGTAGTTTAAAATAAATTACTTAATTAGATGAACATTAAAGTATTTGTGAATGGCAAATTTGAAACC